GAGCTAAATTTGAGAGATTTTCTTTCCCATACAATCCTATGCTTATTTCCATCAGACAATTTGCCATGCTGAGCTAAAATTTGCTATTTACTACTCTGTGTCCTCTGTTAGATTGTAAGTTCTGTGAAGGCAGAAACTTAATTATGTTCACAATTGTACTCCTGTGCTTAAACTGGTAGATTCTCAATATACAGTTGTTAAATAAATGAATTAATAAGTGTTTTACCATCACTACCACCACTACCACTACCACCACCATCATCACCATCATAATCACCACCACCATCACTCCTACCATCACCTCCACCATCACCATCATCATCTCCACCACCACTACCATCATCACCATTACTATCATCACCATAATCACCACAACCATTACCAGCATTATTATCACCATCATCACCACCTCTATCACCATGATCACCAAACACTACTATCATTATCATATATTTAGTACTTGATCTTCTTTGGAAACTCATTCTTCAGGATCCCAGTGCCTATGGCTATTTAGAATCCTCTGATTTATACCTTTTTTCACTTATTCCCCAATTTCAAAATTCACCTCATCTGGGCTCCATTCCCTTGGGGCTCTGTTCTCTTCTAGGAGATAGCTACCTAATTTGATATAGTAATTGTGTTATTGGCAATAAGGTGCTGGTAGTGGCCCTCTAAGGTAATATGATCTGAGAATAAGGACAATATCTGGTTTCAGCTCAGCCACTTATTCGCTGTGTGACTTTGAGTGAGTGACATCACGTCCAAGGGCTTCTGCTTCCTCACCGAGAAGACTCATTGCACATGCTAGTTCTGTGTGTGTTTCAACACAGATCCTCCACTGGTAATGCCTTAGTCCACTGGAGCAAATATGGATGGAGGTGGTATATGTGGGGGTTTCACAGTGAATAACGAGCCATTATCTGCAGTAGCAGCAGCCTTTGCAGAAGCAGCTGTATCTCCTTGGGGGAAGTTCTCTGCCCATAGTTGCTGCCAGATCCAATCAGTCAGGAGGCAGGAACAGGCATAGACAGGTAACCACCCCACAGTAATGACAGGTGGTTGCACAGCCTTCCCTTTTCCCCAGAACCATATTGTCCTTGTCACATGTCATGGCCCACCTGCTTTGATAGTCTGACTCGGGGCTCAGAGTCCATGTCTGGCTTATTCACAGCAACTTTAGGAGCTAGCAATAGAATCCTTTATTAATGCCATGTGAGTAAAGTAAGTGTTCAGATGGCACAAAGTTAAGCATTCTTCTTAGGTTTCCCTGGCAATTTTCCTGGTGGGGACTGTCACATCAGAAATGCATTGGAGGGAAAGCAGCAATCGAGCAATGCAATTTAAAGGAAGCAGTATAACTTTGGTCAAGTTTCTTCATTTTTCGTAATTGCTTCTCTTTTTTTCTTTTCTCTCCTAAATCAATCTGCAGTATGGCTTGGTAGAATGCACCACTCAGTATTTAAAGAAGCTTAAGAAAAACTTAGCTTATGTTAGGTTATAACATCTCAGGCCTAATCCCCAGACAATGAGAATAAAGCATTTTGGACTTGCTTTCTCCTGGGAAACTCCAATAGCCCTAGGCTGTCCAGATTATCATAACTTTTCCTACTTTTACATCCAAGTGAAATAATAGGAACTCAAAATAAGAACAAGGGAATATACTGAATTTATAAAGACAAAAAAAAAAGGATAATAGAGGGCACTGTTTTGAAGAATAAAAGAATATTCTTGCTGCCAATATGGTTTGAGTACAGAGTCAAAATTTCACTTTAAAGACAAAGATGTGAAGCCAGCAGAGGTTAATTATTTACCCTGGGTCACACAGTAAGTTAATAGCACAACCAGAATCAAGGTCCAATCTCTCGACATGAGCTGAGTCGCTTCCCAAATGATGTTGCCTTCACTTTCTTCTCAGTAAAGGATAAAACACAGCAAGTTTTGAAATAGAAAGACAGGGAAGACAGATTCTCTATAAAGGTGAAAAGAGAGTGTTACTTACATTCCACAGGCAGGGAAACTGAGTCACAGAGGGGATTAGTGCTGTGGTCCTCACTAAGGGTGATTTTTATCTCCAGTGGATGTTTGGCAATATCTGGAATCATTTTAGGTTGTCACAACTGGTAAGAGAACAGTTATGATAACTTGTATCCCGAGTAGATTCAGATTCTTATCATCATTGAAAGTTTGCACAATTTGGGTTATCTGTGCTTGTTTGTTTGTTTGTTTGTTTGTTTTGTTTTTTTCGTTTTTTCCAACATACACCCACCTATTTCCTGAAAACTCCCTGCCAACCTTCAGTGCTAGACTTGGCCTTGACCAAAGTAGGCAAATTTGTCTTTGGGTCCCTAGTCATGTGCTCTGTGTCTTGTCCCCACCCAGCTCCACTCGCTTCAGATACTCAGCAAGGACTGGGCTGCCCATCCTCACTGTTTCTCAGCAACAAGTGCCCTCAGGAAAGTTCTGCCTGCCTTCACTCTCACCTGGACATGAATTGAGGTTCATGTACTATTCCTTCTGGAGAGTTCGCATGCCACCTCTACCTCTGTTCTGACATTTGCATCCTGCAAAAGGGATTTCCAGCCTCTATGGCCAGGATGGGAGGAGTTTGAGAGGAATTCAGAACAACTGTGTTATCAGCCTCTGTTTTACCTGAGGCCTGAGCCGAAACCCTGAGAGAACACGCACAGCCCCATCATCCTGTGACAGGGTTCTGGCTAGGATTCCACAACTTCAAAACACTTTCTTTTGGGCTCTCTAAACACATCTTTCCATACTAATAAAGTCAAATTATTAATTGAGAAATTAAAAGATTTTTTTCATTGTTCTTTGTTTAACTGCATTCAGAAGTTTCATGATAGATTTCCCGGATTTGTGAAAGGGAGAGTTAACTGCCTGAATGACCAAAAAGCAGTTGATGTTTCTTCTGTGTCATTTTTAAAATTGATTTTTGGATGCTCCATATTTTCGCTTTTAAAATTATTAAAACTGAGCAGATTTTGGAAGGATTCACAGATGTATTCTAAGGCTTAAAGGAGCTAATAGAGGTGAAAGTGTTTTTGAAAACCATGGAACATTTCATGTATGTAAACAAGGGTGTGATGGAGATGGAGATATTGCTCAAAATGGCTAGGATCAGGGCCTCTATCCCATAACATCCAAGTTCTTCCCCTCCAAAAAGAAAACCGAAGCATTTTCCAAATAGATTTTCTCTGCCTAGTTTTAAACTTTTTAATTGGGATATACATTTCAAACTTAGAACTTTATAGGCTTTATATGATTAATAAAATCTTTTTTTTTTGATTAATAAAATCTTAAGGCAATTTGCATTAAGAGTATGTGTGCTCATTCAATACTTAACAGCTTCTGCTTGGCCAGGCGCCACCACAGGCAGCATTAGGTTAGCTGCTCCCTGTCTGCTTCCCTCTTGCACTGGCTTATGTTAGGCAGTGATTTCTGACTTCTGGGTGTGTAAAACTACACACAACGTGTGAGTAAGCTTATGCTGCTGAGCGAGAGTATCATTTTAGAACACTTAAGAAGGATTTAAATGTAACTGCTAATTTAAATGTAACCACTGCTAGCTGTTGCTTCCCCTCTCACTGCAAAATCGTTATAGTAAATTCAAAGAAGAAAAAGAGAAATCTTGTCAGCAAAGCAGGAAATATAGTGATCAGTCACAGGTCTAAAATATGTTGGTTATAAATGGTCATGACAATTTTGTAAACATTTCCCCAATTCTACATTCCTCCAAATCTTTGGAATTCATTGTCTTATCATTAGGGAATGTAAATGCACAGAAAGCAAGCTGCCTTTATATGTTGGTTTCTACTTTCACTTTTTAAGCTCCACTGTTTCTTAAATTTACATGTAGCTTAGTTATTAACAAAAGCAACTGTTCTTAAAAGATAACCAGAAATTATATTTCATATTATTCTCAGTCTAATCTTTCTATATTAACAATATTGATTTCATTTAACTCAAAAGAATATACAAACCAAACTCAAACACAACATTTTTTCATAGAGAGAATTTCTTAGATAACTTAAGGAAATCAGTAATGTAAATATTTCTTTTCCTCAATCTTTGATTGTTTGAAATACCACCCAGCTTAACATTTCTTCAGAAATAATCCACTCTTTAGCCAGATTGGATATGCTTCTCTGTACCAAAGTCTGGCTCTACATGCTAAGTACATTGGTATAATCCAGGACTGCACAGGTCCTGGACATCCCATTTTATCAACGTCCCACCCTTCCTACTCATGGGAGTTCTAACTCCTTTCTCAGAAAGCTGTTCCACTGCAGGATATCTGCATTCTTAAAGGTTTTTCAAGATCTCCTGCAGAGAGCAGCATCGAAGGTAGAAAATATCTAGATCTGAAGTCAGCAGACTGGAATTCGGCTTCAGCTTTGTCACTGAAAGCTGTCCTTACCTTGTGTCCTAACTTGCAAAAGGGCATGAGTAATGCCTGCCCTACTTACCTCACAGGATGCTGTGAAGAATCAATACCACTTCATAAGTGAGAAAGCTCTACAGTGACACATCCTTGCAACAGGAGTTAGGATGAGTTGGAAGCATTCATTTCTTCACTCTTACTATCAGTGTGAAAATGGAGAAAAGCTGTGCCTCGCACATCGTCTGTGCACCTTGATGTTTGGTTGATCGACTGTTTAATTATAGTCATTGACATTTTTGTCATGATCACTCCTCAGTCCCTAGGCAAGAGGTTCTTAACAATAACTGATCTATAGTATCATGATACCTATCATCGTTTGTCTGAAGCCAATGAAACAAATGGTATTGAGATGATGATTTTGTTTTATAGCACATGATAAGCTCAGAGAATTCAAGAAGCTATACTGGGTGTCAGAAGCTAGAATCTTACAAATGAAAGTTTATTAAGTGTTAGTCGTTATTTCAGCAGCTCTTAACGAACTGGCATCTATCCTGAAGCAAATGATGGATGTAATAGATTTTAGGAATCAGTAGTTGCTGCTTACCATTGCAGACCCCACACGGCTGACTTTGATGGGATTTCCCCTTCCAGAGAGGTCCATTTGTGCTTTGTCCATCACGTACAGGCAAATGTCCAGGATGCTGTCTTCAAACTATTTGGAGAAAAAAAACCAGTAACCACTTAGTGTTCACTCTGCAAAGAAATTATTCTCTGATGAAAAATAAAAGGAAGCCACAACCTAATGTTTAAAAATGTGTTTCCTATATAGTGATCTCCCATAATCTTTAGTATGAAATATTAAAGTAGAAGGAAGAAGACATCTTTTATTTTCCATTAAAGTGAATAAGAACATAAAAGCAAGACAGAAACACTAACAGAACTACTAGAGAGTTGATATACTCAGGGATCATGCGCTGAGTTGAAGTTCTTCAGAAAACGTTTCAAGTTAATTTAGAAGGTCTTTTCAACATATTGGCTCCTGCACCCAAGAAGAAGAAATGAATGATTTACCAAAGTCAGGCCAGAGTCTTAGGACCTCAAAAGTAATATAAGTCCTCATGCATTTTGAAAATAAAGAGCTCTCAGGTGTATCACAAGAAGGCACTTCACACTACTTAGTTTGCATTCAAACTAGTAGGAGACCTCATATAGTGACTGTCCTTCTGAGGTTTCCCCTCTTCTGAGACAAGGTAGACCTCAGGATCAAGGAGAAGCCAGATGGCCTGCAGAAAGTAGATTACATTATCAAGGGAAGAGTCTCATACCAGTTCAATTTCCTTAGAAAGAACTACTAGACACAGGCAATATCAGACTTCTTTTAAAAAAGGAATAAAAATCATATAGCAAGACAGGAAGATGTTACCTATACCTCACTGTTGCAAGAGATTTCCCTGAATACAGAAATCTTGCCTGCTATCCACCCAAGTACTTGTGACAGAAACCACAGTCATAATGGCTAATTACCATGCAATTCTTTATTCAGCCTAGTTAGAATACACACTCTGGGTGTATCCCAAACCGATGGAGTGGATGCAGTAATGGGTAATTGCACTAGTTCTTCCGGTATGCCAATAACTCAGTATTTTGGTTCTTATTAGCAGCTTCTCTCAGCTGTTTTTGCTGGGCATGATAACAACTAACTGGAGAGTTAAAGAAACAGTCATAGAACTGATTGGTTCCCTGTATCACTGCAAAAAGGCTTGGCTGGTTATTTTGGCCAAAGAGTACAAACCAACAGCCTCTTTGAGTAACAGAAAATACAGTCAGTGACTGTGCTCCAGGGTGTCTATCCAAAGCCAAGCTGGCTGAGGAGTGCCCTGACTGGGCTTGGGACACCTTTCCAGACCTCCTTGCTGCCCACCTTGATGACTTTTCTTCTTGTTAGCTATCTATAGATTGTCACATTTGGGCCATAAATAGAATCCCCAGGCTAAAGGCTAGAAATTGAGAACCCAAGGTGAGGGAATCAGGCAGTAGGCAACAGTCAAGGATTGCATGTCACTGAGGAGAGGATGGCTTGGCACGAGGGAGCCAGGCAGGAATCCAAAAACCAGGGGGGGGCAACACAGCTCAAGCTTGGCAGGACATCAGACATGCAGGCAGGCAAGCCTGAACACTGGGCATGTAATTCTCTGGAGTTAGGGTGAAGAAGCTGGTCATAAAGCCAGGCAGGATGACACAGGTACAGGAGCAGTGGGTGAGGAACACAGGGAGATCCCATATGGAAGTCAAAGCAAGGCACCCAGAGCCAAGAAAGTATCCTGTGACCTGGTGCAGCCAGATTCCGAGAAACCTCCCCACTGGATGTCCAGAGCAATGATGCACAATTCCAGCCAACCCAGCCAAAACTCCCCGAGAAATGCCATTCACCCCCTCTTGTGTTGCTAATTAAAAATCATTTTGAAATCACAAGATATGCATTCATTTATGGAAAACTGGTAAAATATCATTCATTTGCTCCATTGTTAAAGATACCAAGCTGAAATAGTTTGAATGGTTGAACATCTTAAATAAATGCCATTTCCTACTTTATGTCTAGTCAGTAACTTGAGTTTGCAGCTGATAAAATGTTTCTAACTAAAAGCCCAGTGGGCTATTCTTTGATGAAACAATAGGGGGATCTTTTCTAATTAGCAGTACCCTAGGCTAACACTTTTTTTGGAAAAACAAAACAAAACTATTTCTTGGAATTGGGCACGCCCCTTGCGGTATTCTTTGTATCATTATCAAAATAACTTTCTTTCTAAGAAAAGGAAAACTTCAGTCCATTCCAGGTTGAGCTAATGAGATTTTACTGTTCTAAGTGGCCAAAGCATTTCTCAATAGAATGTCGTATTATTCATGGAATCTCTCATTTCTGTAACACTGTAATACCCAGAGATATGTGGTTTCAGCTGATAAATTATGCAGTTGTCTTTATGAGTCCCTATGCCTATACTCTCTGCCTTGGAGTCTCCGATCCTAAAAAGCAGGAAATTGTGCTTGTCTAATATCGATACATGGCACCCTGCAGGGATACATGTGACAAAAAATATGAAGTAAAGATGTCCTTGACAATAACAAATTTTAAATGGCTCACCTGACCATAGCTCCAGCTCCTAGTCTTGATGTCATTGACCTCTCCATAAAAAATTACCCCGATGTCATTCAGGACATATTCTTCTCTTTCTTTCTCATCATCCAGATACACAGCATCATCTGCATCAGAATTCAAACATAGTGACCATTACCAAACCAGGCTGTTTCCAAACACTTGCAAGTTTATTTTATTTCTAAACTGCATTTAATCAACCAAATTTTTAAAAAATGCTCTTTGTTTCATTAAGCATAGCTCATTTTCCAATATTTTAGTAAGGGTGAAGATAATCAGCATCAGAGTTCATTCGATAAATGATGACATTTGTGAGCAAAATGCTGACAAACTCTGGCTCTTTAAGTTCCAAGCAGCAGAATTAAATTGATATGTCTCATTAAACATTTTATGATTCTGGTGCATCAGTAGTTTCAGAAGTCTATAATGCTGATGTAAATCTCTAACACAAATTAAAACATAATTTCCAACCTTTTAACATTAATAGAAAACTACGTGAATTGAAAATGGTTTTTAAAACAAATCTAGGACACAGGACAAGGCAACAGCCTACTTTGTCATGTCATGTCTGTTTTGTGGCCCATCACTGGCAGGAGCAAAGCAGTAGGTCATCTTCTTTTAATGAAAGGTACTTGTCAATGTGCCAGTACGTATGTGTGTCCAACCATCTTCCCTGGCCGATGTCTTTCACTGCAAGGACTTCTCTTCCCTATGGCTAGAATCTCAGGAGGGTCATGCTCTCTATCTATCCACTTGGTCATCAATTGGATGCTTATTCCCAGGCCTGGTGGGAGAGCAGCAAAGCATCTTTAACACAGACAGGACCCTACAAGTGTAAATTGCACTCAGGAAAATGTGTGTATTTGGAACAAGCACCTAAATGCTTTTATATGAATTCTACCTCAAGGTGACAAAATAATTGATGATAATAAATGCAAAAGGAATGGTAGAATTAGAATGTTGCAATTCCTCATGAGATAATGAATCGAGATAGAAATAATTCATTAAGAAGGGAACTTCATAGCGGATGGATAAGACTAAAAATATGTGAACGGGATAATATTGATAAGCCTAAACATATGCATCTCCTGCTAGGATGAATGTCCTGGGAAGCAATGGCATGACTTATGAAGTGTTTTTCCCCCCTCCTCCAAAAAAATATGCCACTTGAAACTGAATCTGATAGAGTCTCTAGATCTAACTAGCTGCTTAACAGAAAATGCCACAGTGGTTAAAAAAAAATCCCACAGTGGTTAGAGAAACATATTTCATGACACCAGGGGATGGACTCAGCAAAATTCAGAATATGGAAAGTTCTGCTTAAAAAATGACTCCATTTCAGCAATAAGTTTGTGGCATGAAGAAACAGATGAAAAGGATTACTCTGCAGGAAAAGATTTAAGTGACATACCAACCAAATTTAATCTGCATACCTTAATCCAAATAAACTAAAAAGATAATTTTTAGACATTGGGAAAATTAAAGATGGTTCATCAGATAATACCTAGGAGCTCTTATTGATTTGTATTAGCTGCAAAGATTACACACACACACACACACACACACACACACAGACACAAGCACATACATACACACATATATAGGTACATATGTATCTGTGTATACTGTGCATATGTCTATTTTTTAAAAACTGCATGCTAAAATATGCATGGGTAAACTAATATGATTACTAGAATTTGCTTGAGGATGCCAAGGCGAAAAAAAAAAAAGGCGGGGGGTGGGAAGGATAGATAAAGCAAACGTGGCAAAATCTTGATAACTATTCAGCCTGAGAGGCATATAAGTAGATATTCATTGTGCAATTCTTTCTGTTTTTGAGTTTGTCTGAAAATATTTATAAGAAAAATTAAGTTTATCAAATAAAACTCAAATACAAAATCTTTCCAATTGGATGTGAAAATTCAGTAATGTAAAGATACAAATTCGACCCACATTGGTCTATACGACCAATGTGAACCCAGCTTAACTTCTACTCAGAATTTTTGGAACTGTGCATGTTCATTCAATAGTTTATCTGGAAAAAACAACATGCAAGAAAATAGGCAGGGTGTGGTGGCTCATGCCTGTAATTCCAGCGCTTTGGGAGGCCAAGATGGGTGGATCACTTGAGGTCAGGAGTTTGAGACCAGCTTGGCCAATATGGTGAAACCACATCTCTACTAAAAATACAAAAATTAGCCAGATGTGGTGGCATGTGCCTGTAATCCCATCTCCTCAGGAGGCTGAGGCAGGAGAATCACTTGAGCCCAGGGGGTGGAGGTTGCAGTGAGCTGAGATAGCACCATTGCACTCCAGCCTGGATGACAGAGCTAGGAACTGTCTGAAAAAAAAAAAAAAAGAAAGAAGAAGAGAAAATAACCAAAAGCTAATATGTTGCAAATGAATAAAGACTGAAGGACTTGCCCAAAGGTAAGTTAAACTTTGGACCCCAATTTATAGTTTCCTGCATCTATGCCCTTTGCCATGAATCTAGTAGTTCTTCCCTCTAAATGTGGAATATCCTCTCTTGACTTTGGGCTTATTTTGGCTAATGGGGTGTTATAGCAGAAGCAAGTAGGGATATAAAATGTGACAGCACAGCTGAGCATGTGCTTATACAAATCTGCTATTACCCTGAGGAAAATATGCCCCAGCAAGCCCACTGGTCAAAAAAGGATGTGAGGCACCAGAGCAGAGAGTCTCTGGAGCTCTCAGGGAGAAACAGATCCTCTCCAGCTGTTACCACCTGAAGCGGAGGTGGCCAGTCAAGCCCAGTATAGGTGAGCCCAACCCTAGCCAAGCCCCAGATCCATGAATAAGTGCTTATTGGTGTATGCCACTGAGATTTTATAGTTCCTTCTTATGTAGCATTACTGTGAGTATAGCTAACTGCAACAAAGCTACACTTAAAACTGACATTAGCACAGTAATGGACAAATACCCAGAAGGAGCTAGATGTGTACTAAATCATACTAAAATGTATACTAAATAATAAAAATGGCACTTAAAATCAATAGGTAATAATAGATCTGATCAATTTTGACAGCTGGCTATCCATGTGAGAAAAAAAAAATAAGTCAGTAAGATCTCTCTCTTTCTCCCACCATATACAAACTCGATCCATGGATTTAAGAGTGCATTTGGGTCTCTTCCTGACAATCTTTATTTTGCCTGACAAGTTCCAGATACAAGCAGATAGAGAAACATAACATTCAATAAATATATGATAAAATGCTCGACTCCACTAATAATCAGAGACATAAAAACCAAATTAACCATGAAATCCCAATGAGATATCATAATTCTCATACCGTATGGGCAAATGCTAAAACAAATGGTGAACCATCAGTGCCAAAGAGGGTATGAAGAGCTGTATACTCTTATCTATTGTGGCCGTAGTGTAAAATAGTGTAGCCTTTTAAAAGGGCAATTAGGCAATATCTATGCAAATTTAAAATGTGAATTCACTTTGCCCAAGCAATGCTATTTCTAGATGCCTATTCTACAGACATCATTTGTACAAAATGTATGTGAAACATTCAAAATGGCATAACATGCTATAGTGAAAATGTGAAACAATCCAAAGAGTTGTAAACAAAAGACCAAAACCATGATGATAGCACCATACCAAGCAGCCATTCAAAAGAAGATGCATGTACTGCCATAGAAAATGCTCCAAGATATACTGCATGAGAAAATGAGGTACAGAGCAAAAGGCTGACACAATCTTATTTGTAGTTTAAAAAAACCTAAACTCTTTCAGTATATATATGCATATCGATATATGAAATGATAGCAAAGTATCTGTAATGATATACACAATTAAGGTTGATTTTCTCTGGGGATTCTCTAAGATTGGAAGATTGGTGAAAAGAAAAGTTTACTTTTAGTCATACATATGTACATGTGCGTTTATTTGAAAAGAATGATATATTCAAATAGTTGTTTAAAAATGAAAAGCACTGGAAATACTTTAAATGAATGACGTTACAACAAAGCGTTAATTGTTGGTGTCTCTGATTTGTAGATCTTTGAGCTCCTTTTTATGCTTTTATTAATTTGTATTTCTATAAGGAGACTTTTTCCATCAGAAAAAGCTATTTTTAAATGTGTTTCCATTTAAGTGAAGCTACCCATTTAATAAAAGACTAACAAGTTCAACTTTTACGCATTAGTTTTCTTTAAGAGCAATAAGGTTGTGCTTTTTTATTATCCATGTCCTCAGACACAACTTTTTTCTCCTTCTTTAAGTCTCCCTGAACCCTTTCCTTTCCAGCAGAGATGGAATCTTGCTCCCTTAGTGCCCCATGGAGGCTGGGGTAATATTTATCCCACCGTACGGACATTACTGTTTAATTATTATATTTTATTGAACAAGCATGTGTTTAAGTCTCTACTATTTAATTTTTTTTAAGTAGTAGCATGTAAATAAGCATTGTTATACTGATAATTTACTGACAGGAACTTTCTAAGTGCTTTATAACAAGACCCATGAACTCATCAACACTCATAACAACCTTGTGAGAAAGGTAGCCCCATTTCATTGAAGAGGAAACTGAGGCAAAGAGAAACACAACTTTTCCAAGGTCATATAGCTATGGAGTTGTGAAGCTAGGATTTGAATAAGCTGTCTTTCAAATAGTCTGTGGCTCTTGGGTCCAAGAGATTGAATGACTGCATCCCCAGCCCCCAGCACTGTGTCTTGGAATATGGTAGGAAATCAATCAATGTCTACTGAAAGAATGAGAGATGGGGACGATGTCTGGAGCTTAGAGAGTAAGGGAGAAGTCCAAGAAAATGAAGGATTTACCTTTGGGCTTTGGGTTAGTATTGATGGGATGTGATAAATTTAGGTGGCAAAGCATGAACAGAGAGGAGTTCTGGAGCTTCAGACTAGGCCACCTTTTCCCTTCCAATGCTTGAATTAAACCTCACCTCAAACAGCCAGACATTATCATGAATCCACAATACAGCAAGGAAGTCAAATAGGAAGTCTTGATTTTAATTTTAAATTTATTTATGATTTTAAAAGGAAGATTGAGGGTGGAAAGCGATGCTTTATTTCCCCTGTTTTTACTCAGATCTGTCACTTTAAAATACAGATGTC